CCCCAAAACCCCAAAACCCCAAAACCCCAAAACCCCAAAACCCCTTAAAAATTTTAAAAATTGAATTTATAAATTTACAGACAACTCTTCATTTAAATATATATGGACAACACTGAGTATTTCGATGAAATTAAGCTGGGAATCAAACCAGAAATTCATAAAGAGGATTTCCAAGCAAAACCCTTCTAACCCCAGTGACTTAAGCAGTGACAAGAGAAAGCGACCCAACAGCAAACATGCCAGCAGGAGCAAACGCAAAGACTGTAAGCGTTCAAATTATTGCAAAATAGATATGCTGCCTCAGAAGTTTTCGATCAAGAATGACCACAATTTCATGAACAGGTCGTGATCCAGTAGGAACATCATGTCTGTGTACCCTCCGCAAGACGGAACTTCCAAGACAAACAAGACCTACAGTAAAATAGTGAGCAAGTACCCCAACACTAGCAAGCAGAGTGACCGAATCAAAGAGCTTAAAAAGGAAAACAAGCGACTTAAGAAGATGCTTGACAAAGCTGAAAACAAATACAAGGCAGTCGAAAAGTACATCCAGGTTCTGATGAGCAAGAGCGACTTCAAATAAGCTGACCAAACTCAGAGGCAACAATCTCAGTTTCGCCGATGACAAATAAAATCAAGCCATTGTTTGTAGACAAACAAATCAGTATAAAATCGAAGTCGAAGAGTCCGAACAAGTTTAAAGTTGAGAAGATTTATTTACCCACAGGAGGCAAGACTCATATTATTACTGACCTGAACAACAGCGCCAAGAAGAGTAACAGCCATGTAAACCTTCTTGAGCGGTCGACCAACAAAGATAGGCCCAGAGGGAAAATATCCTTGTCGTCCAGTATGAGAAGAATCAACAACTTCAATCCGTCAGTTTCAAACTCCTATAGTAGAGGCAAGGGTAGTATTGATTATCTGAACACCATCCGCAGAGAAGCTGACATGTCAACAAATGCGAATTCAAACAACGAAAACACTTTTCAGGCCATTATCTCTGCCTACCAGCAAAAGGAAAGGCTCTGGGTCAAAGAGAAACATGAAATGCAAATCGAGCTCAAGTGCCTGCGTGAAGAACTCAAGGCTATTCGAATCTTTCTGTGCGAACAAGACCCGATCGAGAAGAACATTGACAGCCAAGTAAAAGACATTGTCCCTGCTTTCATCCGAGCTTGAAACGTGCCTTTAAGCGACGAAGATGAGCCTGCCAGATCAGACAAGAAAGCTCCCAAAAGACTAGTAATCAAGAAGCCTTCCATTTCGAAGAACGAAATATTGCACCAAAGAACTCCTGTTGAGCAACAGAAAAAGCGAATGGTCAAGCAGTTCTACCACCCAGGCAGTCTCGACATGAGCTCGAGTCCATTCACAGACTCCATGGGTGTTGCTTCGACAGGCAAGAACATGAATGATGTGGTCATCAGTCATTGCAAAAAGAAAATTGGGGCGCACAAAGTGATTTCCACAAAAGCATTTAGTAAGGATCTTTGCCTGTAAACTCTGATAACTTTGATATAGAAGGCTACAACCAAACTATGAACTCTGTCAAGATGAAGAGGTAAGCAAGGGCCCAATGCACTTATATTTGAGTGATTCAATTCAGAATTATGTCGATGGGGTTTTGGGGTTTTGGGGTTTTGGGGTTTTGGGGTTTTGGGG